TTTTTTAAGGCTTTTCATATAAAAATTCAACATTTTGCATTGAAATTACATCTTGGTAGGATAACTTCCCACCGAAAAACTAGACCATCCAAAGTGGGACTTCCTTGAAGCACAGGGTTGTCACTTGGATAGATTTTGGGAAAATTTTCAAGAGTTCGGTAGCAGGCGGCCATCTTATGGTAGACGGTCGTTCAAATAAGGGAGTGCTCGATTAACATTGTTGACGGTTTCCCCAGTACCCCTATCGCATCACCCTTGATAAACCTTCGACTGACTATTGCTGCATAAACACATAGGGTGAAAATGTGGTGTGTAGCCCTCTGAAGAGGTTCAGAGACCTATGGCTCTTGTTGTGCAAACGATTTCCGTAGCACACAGAAAGAGCAGTAGACAGAAGCTTTGATATTCCTAACAGTTTTTACAACTCCGCCCACATTCAACTTCCAACTGTCACACTAGTTGTAAAACAGCTACTGAGTTTATATAATGCGTTAGAAAAATATTATGAGATCCATGACAAACCTGCCACCAGTTCAACATAGCTCCACCCGGCACTAAACTCATAGATTAGCTGCCCTAGTGAAAATACGCTCCGCAGCCGCTTGCACTTATTGCGAAATTGGTGACAGCTGGTTCGATTTTTAATTATTTTCTAATTATTTGATCCACCGGCCGGGTCGTTTTATTTTGTTTTATGATAGTCAAGCAGGTAGGAATAATCTCTAATTTTCTAGATGTCTATCCGAAAGGATAAATCAACGAACAGTTTGAAAGCTGTCGAGGATTGTTTGGCTGAATTGGCCACAGCAGATGAAAATATCGTTCGAGAAGCTTTATCGGCCGGCAATGATCTCAACAACATTTCCGGTATACAGTTTAATTGACCGTTCTTTCAGTTTTATCGCATAGGGAACTCGGTGTTTTAGTTAAGGTGAATGAGGAACTCACTGAAGCTCATCGGATTGCTGTAAAAGAATGTATTCAAAATGCTGACAAATTAACTGATCTTCATAATCAGATTCTTGCCTGTGATCAAGTCTTCGAGGTAGCTTTGCCTTTTTTGGGTATAAGATTGATTATGAAGTGGGAACGGGTCCTCTCTTTCGGAATATCCGGTTTTATTTTACGGCAGCGCATTCCTTATACTTCTGTTTCGTTGTTTACTTTTCGTAAACAACAGAATAAAATTTACAAAAAGGACTGAGACCATCACCCTACAAAGACATGCCTCACTATGTAAATGATTGGTCCTGTTTATCATTTAGCGGCTAGAGAAAATGCTGCTTGGATTCCAAGGCGACCTAGGTACTATCAGTGAGGATATGAAAAGGCTTCAAGACCAATCGATTTCGATCAATCANGTAATCTTCAGTTTACCTATGTTCCTTTCCAGTTCCTGCTGCATTATCCTAGTTTTTTCTCAGGAACTAGAAAATCGACAAAAAGTTCGTGGCGAGCTGAGTCAGTTTGTAGATGACATTATTGTACCTCAAACCATGATAAAGTAAGTCATCTCTGCTGCTTTCACTGAGCATTGTCTCATCACGTATGTGATCACAGAGTTATAATGGAAGCTGATGTGAATGACCGGGCTTTTCTTGAACAACTACATGAATTACAACATAAAATCAACTTCATCAAGGCCCAAGAGTCTAAAGATGCCCGTTCTGTCTACGATGTTCTCGGAGTGTTAGAAAGCTTGAAATTCAAGGTACGATTCTCTATTTTTCAAAGTCAACTACTTACCTGATGATTCTGTTGTTCCAGGCCATTGAGAAAATACGAGAATGGATTCTCGCCAAAATATACATGTTTCGTAAACCCTTATCCAATTATCAAGTCCCTCAACATCAGCTTCTGAAGTCTCGGTTCTTCTATGAATTCTTAGCTGCCAATGAGAGCAATATAGCTCAAGAGGTTCGTGAAAGTGTCCTAAATGCAGTTGTTGAAATTATCGACATTCTGAATTTCTTCTTCATTTCAGGTGCAGGATGAGTATATTGACACTGTTAGTAAAATGTTCTTCTCCTACTTTAAGGTCTATATCACGCGGTTATTCAAGTTGATGGTATGTTCCCATTATCTGATATTTTTAGTCCAAAGGACTAATTTGTGAATGTTCTGCGATTCATACCACTTCTCAAGATTACATTCTTTTCTCGTTTTCTTTTCATTCCTGTAAGGGAGACCAAAGAGATCAAAGACCAACGGTTCAGCTAGCAACGCTCTGAAATTGAATTTAAAAGGCATGAGTTGTCGGTAGCTCCCTTCGGATGGCTTTTACCNTCTTCCTGTTGCCGGATTTTCTGGAGTGTGCCTTTTCTAGGGTCTGATCCTAATGTCTAGGCCTTTGAAGCCTAATTAAATGATCTGTAGAACAACGCTGTTGTCTCAAGTTGCTAAAGAGTAGGCGTGTTATGTAGAGGGAGACCATACGCTCATAATCGCCTATTAGAATTCTGAGAGTGACAGAAATGAGAAAATCATTTTTTTAATATTTGTAGATGTCGGATGCTGCTTCCAAAGATGATTTATTGGGTGCTGAAGATGTTGTGAAGTCTGGAGGTATCTCTGGCTTGTTTGCAGGAAAGCCACATGTAAGCGAAAATTCACCTCAATCTAGTCCACCTTCCCTCATAGTTGAAAATTTTCAGCACCGAAACAGAGCAACGGTGTTTTCTTTGGGATCTCGGCAAGAAATTCTCACGCACGACTTCCTTAATCCTCTTATTGTTCCCCATGCTGCCCAAGAAGCTAATCAGAAGGTATTTCACAGATGTTCTTTCTGAGAAATGAAATTTATGCGAACATTCTCGCTTTTGTTTTTTTCAGTTCCAATTCGAAGCCTTATTCCGTTCTATTCATCTCGCATTTGTCGATCATTGTAGTCACGAATTTCTCTTTCTGACAGATTTCTTTATGGTCTCAGGCCAAACAGCAATCGATCTACATGCAAAGGTGGACAACAACTTTGAAGATTAATGTACTCTCGGACATCGAAATTTACTTTCAAGGTTATGGGACGTGCTATGGCTCATTTGGTTCGAGCATTTGATGAACGTATAGCGGTCAATTTTGATTGTATCAGTCTTCACTTATGTATTTGCCTGTGTGATAAGTTCCACCGATTATTGACGGAGAGGGAAATTCCTTCAATGAGTGGGTAAGTTATGTAATATTTAGAGGGGAGATTGGTGAATCTAGTTCTAGCGGTCTTTTTTCCAAACTTGAATCAGCAAGTCTCTTACACATGTTCAACTTTTTTTCTTTTTTAAATGAAGATTTCGATCGAAACCTCCTGTGAACCCATTTATTTCAGATACTGGGAAGCTATATCGAATCAACTCTGGACTAGGTTAGCACAAGTGATGCAAATGCATAATGATAGTGTCAAGGCTCTGGACGTCAAACGAATGCAAACTCCGATAGACACGAGACCGCACTATGTAGGTGATGACTGTAACCTAAAAATTCGGTGGTAAGGTGAAAATTCTGATCTAATCGCAACTTCATCCAGATTGTCAGGCGATATGCTGAGCTGACATGCGCTTTCCTCGTTGTTACTGAGTCGAGTGGACGAGAGGTTCTTGACTTCTGTTTCTTCTCCTCATGCGAATCTTTATAAACCTCAATTAAGCTGGGACCGAAGATGGAGGCAATCCTTGAATCGTGTGAGGATGCTGTCGAACAACTTCTCCTCCGAATGTCGTCTTGTCTACCTAACCCTAGAGATCGTCTAGTTTTCCTTATCAACAATTACGATCTAACTCTAGGCATTATTGATGTGAGTTTACTGTCAATAGTTTCTTGTTCTAAGGGAATAAGCAGGATTCCATTTCTTGAAATATTACTTTAAATCATAAAAGCCGTTCTCATAAGTTACAGGAGCGAGTGGTTCAGGACAGTCGAATCCATTCCATAATTCATGAATTAGAGCAAAAAGCAATTGGCGAATTTGTTGAGGTCTGTAGAAATCTATTTCAAGTGGATTTGTTGATCATCTTGTTCGTTACGAATGCTATTTTTCAGGCTACATTACAGCCACATTTTTCAAGTTTGTTGTCGTTTGTTAGTGAATGTGAACCTCTGGTCCAACAGGGGCATACTCACCTTCTGGTCCGGTACAACGGTGAGTGCCTAACCTAATCCATTCTGATGTACTGTTTACAGTGTTGCTTGTTTACAGACAAGCTCACAGCAGTGGTGCAAACCTTCTCTGCGAATTGGAGGCGCTCAATAGATGCAATAAATGGTGAAGTAGTGAAGTCTTTCACAAATTTCAAGAATGGAACTAATATTCTCCAGGTAAGCTTCTTCAGTTCAAGGGCGTTCCTTTGAGTAATTAGTGAACTGCAAATTTTAGGCAGTTTTCACACAACTGGTTCAGTACGTGCAGCGATTCTCCAAATTGGTATCGCACGAGATTTTCCGTGACAATCCAGCCCGAAACGACATGGTTAATATTCACCATATATTGGTTGAATTGAAAAAGTATAAACCAGTATACTGACCCGATCAGATTCTTTACGTTCCACTTCGAGAGTGCTTGGTCTGTGCTTTCTCCACTACTTATATCGCGTTCAGCCTATCTTAGAAGTATATGTAGCTCAAGAGCTCTTGAGAATGCATCCTGCTTCTTCGCTGTAGATCATCGCTATTCCGGCGACCATTTTCAGTTCGCCCTGGCGAGGTACGTAGGGCAGGGAACCTTCCTCGCCTAAGGAATAGGTAGCAAACCTATCCTTTTGTTTTTGAATCTAACGGAGTTTGGGTGAAGAGTTGGAGGTTGCTTTACGAGATTGCATGCGATAAATCCCAACCACCTGGGATGTCGGCGAAATTTGGAAAGGCGAAGCATTAAGATCGTTCTTGGAAGATAGCAGTAAGTCCAAAGAGCTTTCTAGCAAGTGATATGATCGGCGATTCAGTCAAAATACTTGAACACTTGAAGGGGAACGAGGTCCCATAACAAAAAGCAGCCGACGGGGGTCTGGCGTACTGATCCATGTTCTCGTTAACGGCACATCATCAATACCAGCGTCTTCAGTTTGGCTATGGCTTGCATCGCACTATGCATATGTTTTCTACGGGTCTGTGGGGTCTTTCCTGTTCCTTTGCTTTTCATATAATCGGTCTTTATGATTTGAATAAGTGATAGGAACTAGTCTAACTAGAAGCTGTGATATCTGAGTGGTCTGTGAATCGAAGTATTCTCGCGCACCTTTGCCTGTTTATTTTTCAACATTTCGAGTTATTCTGATATGTGTTGACAAATATTTATGGCATGCTGTTGTACATTTTATGTTATCAAGCTTACGCTTATAATAAACATATCAACGTAATGCGCTCATCGAAAAGGGTGGTTCTCCACAACAAACAACGAAATCAAAAGTATAGCGAAAACTGCAGCTTATAAGTGAAAAAAGCCTCTCAGTCTTTTCTCTAGACTCTTCCTAGCTCTTTTACAGGTGGGATGTAACTAGTGTAACCATTGCAACGAAAAACCATAAACCCTGTAAGTGTTGGTTTTAGTCTCCGGAACTATTCAGACCTTTCATACCATAGTTGCCCATTCCTGATGTTGGACCTATGGGATGCGTAGTTTTGGCTCGTTAGCCACGTAGTGAAACAGTTAATTAGGATTTGGCGACCAGAGACGACAGGCTTGCCTCCGCTGCACACTGCTTCAGTGGATGATGGGTGTGCTATGGACCCTGATCCTCTGCTGTATGTCTCCAAGTTTGAAATCTCAACTTCAGATGTCAGACTACTAAGCCATAGGCCTTTTTTGAATTTGTCCAAAATTAAGTACAATTTCTAGATCGTGCTAAGGCTTGGTGTCGAACAGGGGACGACGCCTAAATCAGTAATTTCGACATTTGAGTAGATAAACTCAAAAAGATCGGTTCAGCTGTGGAATAATTTATTTACATTTACACTTAGGGAGAGGATGAAGGTCAACAACTTGAGAGAACACGAATTTCATTCCTTATCACAGGTTTTAACGAAAGGATTTCGATCCTTTGGATGACCGTGTCAGGGCCATGAATCAATCAAGCTACAGACGAGCCGNGACGAGCCGGTATTGAGCACTTCACACATAGTATTCCTATACACCCGTGAACTTCCATTGCATGGCTACCTACAGACAAAGTTCAGTAGAATTCTAGCTTGTAATCATCCTGGAACTGTAGTCTTGATCATTGCTTTTGAAGATTTTCGTACAAAGTGCTCCCATATTGGTGGGGAAATGATAGACGAGTGTCGAACGTGGCCAGCCAACGGGAAGATCACTTGGTTGCGTGTCCTTCAAAGCCAAAACTACTGTTTGTGGGTAACAGCGAGAAGCAGCTCTGTCAGTAGCTGAACTACAGACTCACATTGAAAATAACCGGCCGAAATCTCCTGTTGGTGCTGTTCAGTGTGAAGAATTCTTGACTCATCAAATCATGCATGTACAAGACACTTCTACAGGCGCTACTTCTTGTTTTTACAGCTTCAATATGAGATGGACTAAAGCTGACGACAATTTGATGAGCCTAAAATAGCATTTCACCTTTCAAGCGAAGCATGGCAGCAGATTTTAAAACCGTGCAGTTGCCAACAATACCTTAGCAAAAGCCTCCTCCACGGTAGAAGTTAAATTGACGTCAATGTCCAGATCTGCTATGTCGCTTATTCGATATCCACGCTGTGAAGCATGTTGTCTAAACGGAGCTATGGGTAATAGTATTGACTATAGTAACATATGTTTGCCTATCTCGATGTTCCCTAGAAAAGACCCTTAGAAGCCTCACCGATTCGTCAAGATGAGGGCAATTTTCCTTCGGTTTACAAAAAAAATATTCTCGGGTACTGATAACCTAGCAGACTCACTCACTATCACTCACTAAGAAAACCTGAGGTATCTGTTGGAATGTCATCTGATAAAACTCATCGTCATAATTTTTTAATAGTAACAGGTTATGATCCCGCCTAACCCCACCCCATCTTATCATTTGAGAGCGTTTCAACTGAGAGCCTTGTCTCAACCAGGTAGCGTTATTACGATATAGCCCTGGCTTGATCGAATGAAAAATTAACCCTTTTTCGAGATTTGCACAGAAGTAAAAACGATCTTACATCAGATTTTTCCGTAGCCATCGAAAATCTTTCGTCTCACGATCATCTCCCTCATAATGAACAAGCAATATGGCTGAAAAAAAACAAAAGCTATTCGTATATCGGTAACAAGCTATCGGCTATGACTGCCGCTGCTGCTTGACCTCGCAAAAATGGTCCGTTAATCGCCCCATACCACACCTGAGCCAGATCAATAGCTAACAATCACTGCTCTAGAGATGTACTAGAGTTCCCATCACAACGCCTGCCACTCTTCCACATTGAAGGTGGAACTTCCCTACAGTAAAGAAAAAGAACTGACTCTTTACGGAATCAGAGTCTGCAGTTTTTGATACCGCAATTGGTGAAGCCAACGACGTGGAGACAGAATTAATTCCAGGAAAATCTGCAAAAAAAAAGCGAGGGATGAATGTGTAAAGGAAATAAATCGCTATAACTTACGTTCTAGAGGCTTTTCTAATTTTCCTCGTTGTTCGAGCCTTCTTAGAGAATATAGCATGTCGATCCGTTTACAGCGTTGTAGTGCTTTGATCAAATCCTTGACTTGCATATGTTGACATTTCTTCAGTACAGCTTCCATGGGTCGAGCATCTTGACGAAAAGACTAAAAGTTATATCAGCTGCGGACCAATTCATTTATCTACTTATTCGCTTTTCCATCATGCAATCTAACTGGCATCATTCATATTAGTTCGAAAGACTGTCACCAATCAAAAGCATGGTCCCCAGTTAAGGTGTGGTCTGGGCGATCTAGGGTCACTTCAGCCACAGGAGGGCGCCCTGAATACAAGCAGCCATTTAGCTGGTCTGACCATCGAGTGTCCAGACTTTAGTGCTCGAGTGTTTTACCCATGTTCAACATAAATTCTTGTCTTGTAGAGTCCCCCTTAGTGTTATCGTAGTTCAGGATGGTCAAAAAAGGCTTTCAAACTGACTCACCATTATTTCAACGTCAGAAATTCCAAGATGGATACCGATGGAATCCCAGTTTTTCAGCGATCCATAGGATGGTAGACTTAGATGAGAAATTAGCA